ATTTAAATGATTTGACCCCACAGTTAATTGAAAACTACTTCACAACCTTCTTCCAATAAAAAAAAAAAACACAAAGTTTCTATGAAAATGGCATCAACAAGTTTGTAGAACAATAGGAGACAGTTGTTTAAAAAACAATGGAGATTAAGTACTTGATGACTAATTTTTTTTTTTTTTTTTTTGTGAGTATATAAATTTTTTAATTTTCTAATTAGGCACAAACTTTTGCAATGATCTAATAAATGCATTTTATACAGTCTGCACTCCAAAAACTGAATGACTTTTTAATACGAAACAAATAATTTTTCCTTGGTTGCTAAGTATCATGTGGCTGATCATTTTATCAGTTTTGCCATGGAGGCTGCCTTGATAGAGCAAGACATCAGTTAAGTGCCATATGTGATATACACTTAGGCTGTCATGTATCTTTTGATGACGAGGCAGATTTTTCCCTGCAATAGGTTGCCATTTCTTTCTGTGGTAGACTGGGTTCTTTAGCTTTGGTTGGCAACCAGTCTACCCTGCTATTCAACCCATAACTGAGGGAGAAGAGATGGATTCATACCTTTCCCAAGGCACGTTAGTGAATCTGACAAACTTGACTGAGTTCTCACTCTGAGCCAATATACATTACACCATAATGCACACATAGAGCAAGATTTAAATTATCTATTTAAGGAATGTACATTATCTTGTTGGAACTTCTGTTATCTTTAGGTTTGTACCCAAAACATAAACAGTAATTTTTTTAATGGATCTTTTTTTTTTAATTCAACATTATTTCTTATAATGTTAGATAAAAAAAAAAAAGTTATTTCTTAAAATTCCAGTTGAGCCGAAGGAAATAATACATTTTTTTTAAATCTTCAAATTTGTAAAAAAAATATGTAAATATTTTAATGTGAACTAGACTGTTTATTTTTCTATCTCCTACACATTATAAAGACATATTACATGGAGGTGTAAATATGTTAGGTCATTTTTCTATATGAACTTAGAGTTGGTGGGAATGACTTCCCTTGTTTATCCATTTTGCATTATTTCTAGCTTGTGCTCAGGCCCTACGGTTTTTCCTCTTATTACAAGAAAAGTTGTTTCTGAGCAAAAAATACTTCCAGCTTTTATTGCCTATTTTTCTAAAATTCTCAGCAATTTAGAGGAAGAACCAATATCTACATGCCCGGCCTTTTAAATTTAAGTTCTCCAAAATATAAAAGATCAATAACTAAACTGCTTCACTATTTGCCTTCAGCTTCTTTCAGCCAACAAGACAAATGTGCATTTGCTTTTCACCATTTTGTAATGTTGCTGCTGCTGCTGATGATGATTTAATGCTACTGAGAATTCCACTCACAAGAGCCCCAATGTCTGGCTTGAGCAAATCTGTTATGTCAAACGAAATGTCTTCAGCTTCTGCAATGTGCTCTAACATAATTTCAATTTTGTCTTTTCCAAACAGTTCACAGAAGAGATTTTGACAGGCCTACAGTGCTTGTCTATATAGTTAACTTCATCTAACTTTTGATCTTGTCAGGTCACTCTCCTTAAATTCAAAACAGGTATCAGCTGTATTTATTAATTTTGAAACTCAATTCTACAATTCTTGTACCCAACAATGGATGGAATATTACACATTTATGTAGATTTTTTTTATTACCTTCTAGAATGACTAAAGAATTCTCTAGACTTAACACCTTTCCTTGCAAATACAAGAAAGTCCTTTTGACCTATGACTTCTGATATTTACCTTGAATTCAAACAATGTTTAGAAGGAAAAAATGATTATATGTATATTTGAATTGAATTGTCTTTATGATTTACAGATGAGGTGGTGGGGGGAGAGAGACCATTTTGCATGAAAGATGTTTCATTGTTGTCTTTGTTGTTGTGTCCTTAACTAAAGAAAAAATAATCTTTTTCTTTGTTGGTTTATTTCTATAAAGCATGTTTTTTGTTGTCATATTTTCCTCCTGTGTATCAAGAGTCACCAATTTTGTCTTGGCATGGCACACACTTAACCATTTATCATTATTTATCTGCTCAGTGGGTCACCTTTCTTGTTGACTTGTAAAGCAACAGCCATATAACTAATTTACTATATTATCACTTAAATTCTACCTTCAGCAGACTACACTCAATGTCAAGTAACTTTCTATTTATATCATAATTATTTTCAAATTATTTCTAAGCTTTATTATTATTAAAGCATCATCACTGGTATGCCACTATAGCTGACAGAAGATTTTTCCTTGTTTATTCCTCTTATTAAATATAAACTACTGTAAATTTGCAGTTAATAGAGTTATCTTCCTTGGGCAATTTTGTTTTGTCAGTTTATACTTATTGAGAAAAAAAAAATTACTGAAATTGGTCGTCTAATTGAACTGGAAATTATCTTATTTGACTTATTAGCACAATGCTGTTAAAATGCTCTAACAAAAATTGTGCTATGATGTGCTGTTTTTGCTCTGTTACAGTAACATCCATACAATTTGAATGAACATAGAATTTTATATTCTCTTAGTATATAGTTTTACAAACCTGTCAAATATATAAAAAGAGTAATAATTAAAACAATCTTGGAATTGCAAAACAAAAGTATTACTACTAAACTAGGTAATCAATAATATGTCATGGCATTAAGAATAAAAAGACAGTGGCAGAAAAACTAAAGATTATAATTATGCCTAATCATAATAACTATGAAAACATAATAACTAATTAAATTCTCATCCAAGATATAGAATGATAGCCTCATCTTCAGCTGCTTCTTTATCCTTGATATTCAAGTTTAATGGCTGAAGAATTGGTCAGCTATAAATATTGGGATTAAAGTCAAAAATGATAAACATAATAATTACAAGAAAACAATCATGAAAATATTTAACCACACCATTACAAAACCAACTTTATTGACAAAATATTAAGAATAAATTAAATGAAACTTTGTTGTCAAAATGGATTGTGAAGTAAAAAAAAAAAAAAAAAAAATGGTGAAGTAAACTCTACATGGAAATCAGTTTTCAAAAGAAAAAAATATTTGACCATTAAAGCTTTCTGTATAAAAATTAGTAAACTTGCTATTATGTTATGTGGCCAAATTAATTTTTTTGCCAAATATACTTCAATCTCACAAACAAGGTTTTTGTCACTAGTTCAGAATCTATAAATTGTATTCCTGGACAGTCTCTCACACTATTGCTACTGTAGTGAGTTTGATCTTCATTAATTGTTGTCATAACTATAGCCTTGTGCCAAACTTAACAAATACCTGTTACAACAGAAGAGGAAAAATATCCTAGGTAATACTGAAATATTACAAGATGGATGTACCTGAGAAAGGATTTAAAGAACATATTCTTTGCCTTCTCCTGTCCCTTCTGTAATTCTTCAAGCCCTCTTACCTCATTATGTGTCCAAGAAAGCACAGATATCTCTCTTTGATTCTGAGTGTCCTTTTTGTTTCCATTTTCCTTAAGACTTCTTAGTTGCTTACTCACTTCATGTTAACCATGGTATTCTTAGCATCCTTCTATAGAACCACATGCCTCAAGTCTCTTCTTTATCTGTGTGAAAATTATCTGGCATTCACTGACGTATAGAAGGATTGATATCACTCAGTAGTTCAGCACTCTTTTCTTTGTTTCTAACAAAATTTTCCTGTTTCTTAGTATTTAGCTAGATACATTTTATCATTATATAAAGATGCTTTTGGTATACTTGTCAAAATTATTATTATTATTAAGAATAAAATTTTTTAATTAAGTCTTTGAGAAAAAGATAATATTCAAATCTTTTATGCTTAGAGAAATATGTGTACAGAATTGTCACATATTAAGTTTTAATTTAAATGAGAATTCAATGGAATGGTAAGTATATGACGATTTTTGACCAGCAAAAAATGTCAATATAAGATTTTTCTAAATTGATAAATGGGGCCAGTTTAATTTATCAAATACTTAAGAACAATCAACAACAAAGAATGTCAGTTGCCAGGGTTTCAGATGTTACATCCGTTTTGTTTTGCCATTTTGAAATGCCAGCCTGATATTTCTTGATTTAATAGAGGAATGTTTTCATATTCATAGATGACTAAACAACTTTCAACCAGACTTAGCAGATAATTTATACATTAGCCAATTTTTGTCAATTTAGATTTGAATTTGAAATTTTTTTTATAGTTTTCAATATTTAAAATTGCAGAATGAATTAAAATTAATCTGTAGAATATTAAAATTTTGGTTTTGTACATATGTACGCAACTTCTGCATAATCAAAATGGTGTCTGAGGAATAGAATTAAGGTACCCTGAAAATAAATGATTTAACTTCTTTTGGGGGGGGGGGGCTGAGTGATCTGCAACAGAATGATGATAGTGTGGGGTCCTATGTTCCAATCCAACTGAAAAAAAATATTTCAAGAGAATTAATAATTAAGTACTAATTATAGACTTGTGTGGGACAATGTTAGAACCATGAAACAAATTTCAGCATGGTCATGGGGGTTACTTCTTGATCATATTGACCAAGGGGGATAACCCTAGTATGTGGCACTGTTGGAAAATTCCTGTAGTAAACCATATTCCAAGTTGACCCAAGCTTTATGAGTGAAATTTAGCAGACAAAACTGTTTATGCTAGCACAAATATCAAGAGTTCCCAAAATCATCGTGATCAAGCTTTTTTGTGCATACTGGCCTTGTTCAACTACTCATCATATGATTATAGTTGCAATATAAACCACATGTTGGCTCAAATGTGCCTGAGCAGGTGTCTGCAACAGGGATTAGTTAGCCACTTGAGCAGATGGGCATACTCAGAAAACAAGTAGGCAGCCATTAGCTTACTAATTATAGATTGTTCCCTTATTTTGAATATGATTAAAAATCTGGTTGTAAAAAACAAATAGTTCCCCTTTTGCATATAACTCACAGAAGATGACATTTGTGAGAGAGCAAATTCAATAACAATCATAATTTTTGTCTGAATCACGAATCACAAGATGCCTCATTTTTTTAATACTACTATAGATATCTACTTACCTTCCGCTAGTTTGGCACAAGATCACAAGTACCAAGTGAAGATTAATCTTACTCAAACTTATGAAAATGTTCATTATATCTCTAAGAATTACAAGATTTGTAATTATATAGTTTATCATAAATATTTGTAAAAAATATTTAACTAGTTCAAACTAATGTTCTCATCTAATTGTTACAGTTGCTATTATAGAAACATTTCAACCAAGTACACTCTGGCCATCTTCAGGTCTTCGTTTTGTCTGATTGGGGACATCATGTATGAGCTAATTGTTGTTTTTGTCTTTGTAATCTGCTGGATTTCATTACCTAATCCAAGTATTGAACTCACATCCACTAGGTGGCAATAACATTTGATAAACCAATGCTTATATCCACTACACTAGGTGACAGCAACACTTCTTGTAGTGGTCAAACTAAAATTAACAGGCTATGATTCAAGAGGAACAAATAAGAAACAGCATTACAGAAACACAAATAACAAGATATCAATTATTTTGGGGATATCTGTAGATCTTTGCCAAGATGTTGTGTCTATAATAATATCTGCAATAATCAAAGATGAGAACAAGAATTTAAATTTGATAACACTTCATCTCAAAAATCTTAATAATTAAGTTCTGATTTTAAAAAGGTTACCCATTGATATTTTTCTTGATTAAAAATTTTGATATGAATATGTGATTTATTTTACAGGTACAGTGACCATTACTTAATGGCTGAAAGAATTTTTTTTATATATATATATATATAAAATAATAGATTATTCATTTCTTTTGAGTGAGAAAGTATCTAATATGGCTGTAGACTAAAGACTGCCTTCTCTCTTTCAAGTTTTTTTCCAATTTTCAGTTATGGTAGATAGACTAAAGCAAATTAAAATTCAATGTCAGAATTAGTGTTACATGTTTGCTACTTTTATAAAGAACTTTTCTCTGGATATTATACATAATGAAAAATGATTAAGAATATAATAAACCAATTTTTACTCAAATGAAAATGTTTGTTTTTTTTTTTTTGTTGTTTTTTTTTGATCAAAGCATCTGTCTTTTGTAACTGTTTAAACTTAGTTATTTTGGAACCTAAAACTAAATTCAAACAGCATAAAATGTATAAAACAAGAAATGTCCATATCTGTTTACTTCAATTGAGGAACATTTGTTTATTTTTCACTCTGATGTATTTTGATTATTTTTAGATATTTTAAGATTTTATTTCTTTCATTCTTCAGATGTAAAAACCAAGATTATAAATGATTTTTTTTTCTTCTAATTCTGGCTTCTAATCAATGTTTTTATCTTTACAATTTCAAACTAGGTGTTGTGACTTTGATGAAAGCAATGTCTGTATTTATTTATTTATTGTCTGTTTGTGAAAATAATGGAAGCTTTATACTGAAGAATTTTGTTTTGTTTAATTTTCTATTTTTAGGTCTCCAAAAAGTTGACAACAGACCACCAGAAGAAATTATCAATGAAAAACTGTTGCACATACTGGAATCTGCTTATCCTAATATTTTGGCTGTTGAAGACTTGATTCGGTAATTATTAGATTTGCTTGGGCAATTACTTGTGAGTTTGCAAAAAAAAAAATAGCCTCCATTTTAATTGGTTTAGAAAAATGTGGTCTGTGAAGGGGATTTATCAGATAATGATCAGTTGAAATTTATATTAATCTTGTAAACTCAAAATTAGGATGTGTGCTCAAAAGTAAGCCTGTTATCCTGGTGGACAGAAGATGCATTGTGCATCAGTCACACTACAACAGATTACCCATCCAGTTGGGCAAGTTGAATGACCAAAAAAAAAAAAAATTGGTTAATTTGCAGTGTAACACCCACCATTAAAAATTTCCAGAATACTTACATTTATGTGTAATTGTACATGCTCCATTCGCATCTGACTTGACAAATATGATAAAGTCTACCGTTTTGGCGGCAAAAATATGATAAAGTCTACCGTTTTGGAGTTATCAACAGTGAAATTTCGGATTCATTTGCATCATTGGTGGCAGCCATTACTGGCATTATTTGCATACATTCACTGCAGAAAGCTAAACACAGAAGACTATGGAAAGCTAAGTTTGGAACTAATCTTTCTTGTCTAAATTTGTCTCAATTACTGTGCATGAGAACTATTTACATATGCACGCTCAGTTTGTGCAATGATATCTACATTAATAGCTATTCTGCAGTGAATGTATGTAAACAACGCCAGTAATGGCTGCCTGTGACATGAATGAATCCAAACTTCCACTGTTGAGAACTCCAAAACAGTAGATTTTATCAAATTTATGAAGCCAGATTCAAATGTAGCATGTATAATTACACCTAAATGTAAGTATTCTTGAAATTCTTAATGCGAACTGAGTACGGATGCTACACTGCAAATTAACCAAAAAATCTATCTAGTAGGTTGGGGTTGTTCCATTCTAGTTGTCAGATCTTAATTGGCAATGTATTGTACTAAGAGTTACTTGAGAGAAAAGAGAAAAAAAAAACATTTTTACCAATAGTAATCTTGTGTACTCTCAGTAAGAAGTGATTGGTGCCATCTCTCTCTCTTTTTTTTTTTAGCATCCATATGCCTGCTTCCGTAACCATGAAGGAGTCAAATTATTCTATTATCATTTTTTTTTTCGAGTAACTGATGTAAATTCTGGCTGAAAACAGAAAAATGAAATTAAACATTTGTGATTTTATTTCCATATTTCTTGACTTCATACTCAGAACATTGTTTCAATATAAAAGAGAAAGATGAAAGTAACTGAAAATCATGTTTGTTAATCAAATGTTACAAATAAGCTCAGATGTAATTAATATTTGATAGTATAATTAATTTTCTCATTATTTCAGAATTTTTTACCTCAGCATCTTTGATGACCAACAATTCTGATATTAAAGTTGTATTAATTCAATTTCTTTAAAGAAAACAATGTATGAAGAATAAGTTACAGGAATAGTAAAGAAAACAATGTATGAAGAATAAGTTACAGGAATAGATTAAATAGTTAAAAACTAATGTGAGACAATGAGTGACCAGATGGTCAACTCTATATGTTGTCAACGAGAGAGAATTTCTTAGTTTAGATAAAATATCTTTTATTAGTGTTGTAAAAGAATGCAAGTACATAATGCTGATATTTAAAATAAAATATTTTTTTTCTATTTAGTTAAATTTATTTAACCTATACAACAGGGCAATCGTAAGAGAACTAAAAGTCTTACCAAGATTTATTAGTGGTAGGCATTATAACATAAAGGTACATAAATGATACCATGTTGATGGCGGACATGAAAACTATAAGAACTCCTAGACAAAGTTATGAAGATAAGAAAACACAATGTATGATTGTCAGTAAGAGAAACTAAAATCAAGTAAGCACACAAATTTAACAATCTTAACAGACAATGGAAAAAGTGACATTGGAATAATGAAAGATGCTTTCCAAAAGCTAAACAAAATGTTAAGAAACAGAAAAATTTTGTTAAAAAAAACAAACAAACAAACAAAAAAAAAAGAGTGTTTTACTATGTAATATCAGTCTTCCTATCTAGCAGTGAATGCTGGAAAATTTGCTCACAGATGAAGAGAAGACCTGAAGCAATAGAAATGTAGTTAAACAGAAGGATGCTGAGAATACCATGGACTGAACATGTGAATAACAAATTTGATACTCACAGGACATACTGTAGGCAAGAGGTGCAATGGAAAATAGTAAAAAAAAAACCCACCTAACTTGTGTAACTGAGCTGAAGAATATGAACCAGGATAGTAACATTACTTAGGAAGTTGTGAAGAGTCATGATCGCCCACATCCTGAAGTAACACAGTACATAAAAGTGTAATTAAATTTTTTTTTCTGCTTTCAGAATCACAGCGGCTGATGAAGTCATGGTTCGTGAGCAGCTGAAGGAGCTTCATGCTCGTAATCTGGTGACTGAGATGGAACAAGGGGGCTTTATGCGGCATGTGTTGGATGAGAAATCAGGTTAGTATTCTAATTTTATTTGGTTGGATGCCTCACCAGAATTACTCAAGCACTTCACTGATTCTAATGCATTTGTGCAGCAAGAAGAAAATGAGTCACAAATCTGACCTGCTTTGCACATGGTTACAGTTGTCTGACAGAAAGAACATCACATTCAACTTGCAAGAAATATTAATTCACTGGCAATATAATCTGTCTTCTATCGGGTCTTTTATTAGTGGGAATTTTTGCTATTCACTTGGAGCAGTTTAAGTTTAAAGTCAGCCCACCTGAAAATCAATATTAATAACAACAATTGAGGTACATCCCCAAATGGGGGTGGTTAACAATTTGAAAGGGGATGGCCCTTGAAAAGGGCCATTTTTGCATTCTCAATCTTGCAAAGAAGGAACCTCTTCCATGGACCAGCATAATAATAATAATATACGATAATTTTTTTTTTTTTTGTTAGATTTCAACTCTCTAAATTGATTGTACACCATTTTTCACAGACATGAAATTTTTCCTTTGATTTTTACGATTTTTCACCTTCAAGGTTGTAATTTTTTCCAGACAATTTGGACTCAAAACCAGCACTGAAGAATTATCTATCAAACAATAAAAAATTTCATCAAAATCAGATGAAAACTGTAGAAATAATAGCATAAACAACATCCAATCTCACACACACATACATACATACATACATACATACATACATACATACATACATACATTTAGGAATTATAGATATAGATTGTGATAAAATTTAGTCCGCATACATCTTTATTCCTTAATTTCATGTTGTGTAGCAAGTTAAATTTGTAGTTATTAGTTACAATTATATTTTTCAGACAAAGTCTTTAAATTAGATAAAATGTTTAGTTTTTTTTATAATGGTTATCAGTGGCTATGCAAATCTGATAAACTAAAAAAAACAAGTTTCAATAGAAACCTCATAAAACCAGAGAGAATAAAGCTACCTGTTAAAATAAACTATTCCTCTTACAATGAATAACTGAAATGCTGCCTTTGACAGTTTTAGCACAATATTAAATCATTTATATATCACTATGGGATTTTCTAAGTGTAGCTTAGATGTGGCATAAGGCTGAAAGTATGGGGTACTCGGTCATAATTGTTCTAACAAAACAAGCTTGCTAACCATTACTCCACATCGAAGTGTCCCATTTGTATATCACTATGGTTGATAAAAGGAATGCAGACAAATCAAGGGAAACAAGTCTAATTACCAGTTTAAATGGTTTGTTCCATGTACCACTCCAAAAAGCATCAAGTTCTTACAAGGGATGGATTACTGCTGCCCAATTCTCACTTTCAGTCTTTATAGAATTCAAAATCATTTATGCATTTTTGTGGAGAAAGACTTATTCTCCACTCTGCAGTATGCTTCTTACAGACACAACATCACAAGCCTATCTCTACTTTATTGCTATTTCCATGGCAAATGTTCACATGCTCTCTATTCTTCAGACATTGCAGCCATGTCTGGGCTGGAGCTGCTTGACCCTCACTTTCAGCTTTGATAGAACTCACAAGTGTCTATGCAGCCTTGTGGGTAATGAATTATTTTCCACTATATAACATAACAGGCTTCACTATTCTGTTGCTATTTCCATGACTAATATTCTGATGTGCTACACTTGTTAGCTCTAACAGTCTGAACTGGTAGAACTAAGACATACCATGCCATGCACACTGTGGTGAACTATCCTCATTCCCTTTTTATTCCATTAGTAATAATGAAGATTCATTCAGATAGCTTTCCAAGAGCTGCTACTAGGTGGAACAAACTCCCGAGAGGATGCTTCCCTGATTGCTACAATCTTTACCACTTCAACTGTTATCTTTCCTGCATACTTCTGAACTTTTTTCTCCTCCTATTATATTCATACAATGACCTAATTGACTAACCCTCTACCTTAAGTGGCTCTTGTGCCTAGTTTACAGTTAGTAAAAATAAAACAAAAAAAACATGCATATACATTTGTACAAGGGATATCCAAAAGATAAGGTACGCTACAAAGATTTACTAATCCAATATATGCATTAGTATACAAATACATTTTGCAAATGTTATCAGCATTATGTTGTCACTGAAATGAATGTACATACTCTGTTAGCGAATAAATGCAATACCTTACTCAAAAAATGTAACGTCATATGACTGGAGCCATCTTTTACACCACTGCAATAATATCATCTGTATAAAACTGCTTTTCAGATAAATACCATTTGAGGAACCTAAGAAGATAAGACTCGAGACGGGGTTCCTTCAAATTATGCAGTCATCCAAATTACTGGAGCCCCACTTTTATCATGATGGCCATGTGTGGGGTGGGTGGGGTGGTGTTGTCATGCAACACAGAAATTAGCCAAGAAAGAAAAGAAAATAGTGAGTCTATGTGAAATCCTTTTGATGATATAAAATGAAGAAAAAAAATTAAATTAACAAAAGAGTGTCTGAAATTATGTGAAGGCTTTCGTTTCAGTTCCTCATGACAAGCATTAAAGTGCTTGCCAGTATAAAATTATTCACCAATTATCAGATTTTAACCAAGCATGTGGCACTTCAAAGAATTTTCTCTCAACAATCCATGCATGATTTTTAACCACTTCAAAAAAAAAAAAAAAAAAAAAATGGTCATATATACTCAAGTATGGTACAGATATTTATTATCTTTTATTTTGGAATTATTCTTAATTTGCCAAGATATTAAGCTCACCTTTCTCTGATGTAAGGCATCATAATGGAGCATCAAGTGCAGTACAAACTCACTATATGAGTACCTATGGAGTTGTGAGTCAAAACACATCTGTCTGGGCTGTAGGTCAATAATTGAACCATAGTTTTCAAAATACCCAAGAAAAGAATGCTCCTGCTTATCTAATTCCTGGTCATTCTTGGGCACAACGAGGAGCTCTTAACTTCCCTCTGGTAATAATTATAGGCCTCAGCTATTTAGAATGTATATGCAAAAGATTATCAGGATCTACATTAAAAAAATTACCAATATATAGTAGTCAGTGTGCCATCGAGTATATTTCTTGCAAATCATAAGAATGGAAACTAAAAATTGTACAGCAGTTAATGTCATGAAAACCAATTTGTAATCACACACACAAAAAATTAAACATTTTATTAAAAAGCATGAAAAAATTAAAAATTAAAAATACTGTTTCCCATTACACACACACACACATATATATATATCTATCTCAGAAAAACTAATCTACTGGCAACAAGTAACTGTTTCTTTTCAAAAGCTATCCATAAATACACTTGTACCAGTAGGTTATTTATATATATATACACACACACACCCCTGGTCAAAATCTTAAGAAAAAAAATATAAAATACTGTTACTTTAATCAAAATATATTTGCAAAACACTTACATTTCGAAAATGTAGTTTATCAACAAACAAGTGAACATTTTAAGCTTTTAATTGATTAATTTAAACAGACATTGAAAAAAGGATTTTTTTTTTTTTGATTGGTCATAAAGATAAGACCATGTAAATAAAAAAAAAAATAGTAAATATGGAACAAATAAGTCACAACGACAATTTAATTCTCACTATATCCTCCATTTTTGTGAATTTCTTTGAAAATTTACTTTGGCATACTCATTATTAACTTCTGCATGAGGGTTGTTGGGATGCTCACCCAGGATTATGATCCATGTTTATAAACATCCTTTGCCATCGATCCACAAACATACTCGATTTGGAGAGCATTGTGGATTGCAGTATTGTCCTGCTGGAAAATCCAGTTTTCTCCACATAGATGAGGGCCTTCAGTAATTAGCGATGCCTTTCTTAACATGTCAATATAACTAGCAGTTGTTTGATGACCTTTTACCTCCTGTAACTCAAGAGTTCTATTGTATGAAAATGAACTCCCAGACCATAACTGATCCACCTCAACTGTGTCAAGTGGAGAAAATTTCTTTTGGAGCATCTTTTGCATGCCAGTAATGCTGAAAACCGTCTGGGCCATAAAAATTGAATTTTTTTTCTCATCTGAAAACAACACTTTCTTCCATATATTCACATCCCAAGTTTGATAATCAGAAAGAAATTGTAAATGGGAGGTTTTATGGCGAAGAAGGAGGCAAGGCATCTGCAGCTGTTTCAAGTTCTTAAACCCTTTCTTATTTAAATGCTATCAAATTGTTCGAGAGCTGCATTCAGCATCTGTATTTGCTTTTATCTGATTTGATGTTAAAAGAGATTCAAGCCTAACTTCTCACTTAATGCATCTGTCTAAAGATGGTAAGATTTTATTGGGGCAGCTGCTTGATTTTTTAGAAGCATATGCATCCGGATTTTTAATGAAGTTAGCACAGTTCTACTATGGAAAATTTCCTTTGCAATGGCTTGTTGTGAAAGACCATGTCTTTGAAGTTCAGTAATCCTGTCCTGTTTGAACTTTGTTAAAATTTTACCCTTAGCCATTTTAAAATCTGAAATTTAATACTGGAAATGAGCTACATAGATGTCTACATGCCTGAAGCTATGAGCACACTGACTAGTTCTAAAATTTTTGTCCAGCAATTAATTTTTTCACATATGGTCTTATCTTTATGACCAACCAAAAAAAAAATCTTTTTTTCAATGTTTGTTTAAATTAATCAATTAAAAGCTTAAAATGTTCACTTGTTTGTTGATAAACTACTTTTTCTAATTAAATGTAAATGTTTCGCAAATATACTTTGACTAAAATAACATTATTTTATATTTATTTAACCCTTTTGTATCTGGTCTTAAGATTTTCACCAGGAGTGTATGTATGTATGTATGTATGTGTGTGTGTGTGAAAAAGATTCTAATTATCTTAAAATAACTTTACACTGTATATTCTGTCTCTAGTTTAAAAAAAAACAAAAAAACACACAATCAGAATAACCTGATCTCCCTACTTACAAATGAGATATTTCGTTGTTATGGTAATACTTTCTGTTACCTTCACAACAGAATATCTCATTAATAAGAAGGAAAGATTCTGCTGTATAACATAAATCGCTTCATGTTAATAGATTTAAGTCAACTATTTTTTGATTTTTGTCAATTTCAGAGGTTCAACTTGTGAAACAAATGCCAACAATTGCAACCAATCAACAGCCAACAATTGCTATCATCACTGCCATGTATTACGAGAAGTTGGCCGTGGATGCTATGATGGAGAACAAAACCACATACATGAAGTACAAAACTGAAGGTAATGGTTCCATTTTCTCATTCATTTTTCTGACATCTTTCCTTGAAATGTTTGTAAGCCAGTTAGAATTTTGTTAAATGTTAATTATATAACATTTCACCTTTTGAAAATTACACTTTGTCTTCATGCCACTGCTGTGACAAATACATGCTTGCCAGTAATTCTATTCAGCCTCTGGGGATTTCCAACTGTTCTATTTTTGGCCTACATATAACACAAAAAAAATAGTACGTTGAAACTTTTAGTGTTCAAAAAAGAAAAATAATTTAGGTTCTTTTGAAAGATGCATTTTTGAAAACAAATGTCCATTCAAATGTAAAAAGAAAATTAAATTAAATAATTTAATCATCATTATAATACTATAACACTTCTCACCAGTTGGTCCTAAGTCAATTCCCATGCAAGTTGTTGAATGTTGGCTGCCTCAATTCATGCCCTGCCTCGCTCATGTTGTGCTTTTTGATCATGGAGCTGCTAAGGACTGAGTTATCGTCAGCAATTGTAGCGTTAGTTCCAACCATGGTGAAGCTGTGTCATAAAATAAAAATGTTCTTTGCAGACAAAATAAAAGAAAACAAGAAATCTTTCTGGTCACTTTTCAATTTCTTCAAGCAAGGTATAAAATGGTATTTCTCAAATTGTTTACAATCTTCTGCTTTTTAACAGGCAAAATAAATCACTTCCTTTAACTTTTGCCTTTTTAATATTATTTTTTCAATTGACTTCCTTTCCAGAAAAGTCTTCATAAGCTGTACTTTCAGTAGCAACCATAAATTAAATTCTCTATTTTTGCCTTGTTCAGCAAATTTTTGTGGGCCAACTCTGAGTGCTTTTCTATCATCTCTCCCTAACCCCTTGTGGATTTAAATTCTCCAGATGTCCTTTTCAAGGTAATCTCTTTCTCAGAACAATAAGTCCAATATCTGCTTTACCCCTTCCATCTTGTCCTAAGTTTGTCAACATCTAATTTGAAGCTCTACCCTCCATAAGTTCATGGTAGTTTTGTTTATCACAAGCTCTTAAAATAATTGACAGAATGTGTCATTTTTTAGTATGTCAAGGTACACACTGACTCTGTAAAAGAAACTCAAATTGGAATTTGTACCTCTCTGAGCCACAAAACTGTTATAGTGGAACACACCTATTCTATAGTTAACAGACTCTCCCACCTATAATAAGTAGGAGTAGTAAGAGTAACGAGAGGAGTTGCTCAGTGGGTCGGTCAGTCAGTTGAATATAATACAAATATGCCTGGGTTAAGAAGGTGGCCTGTTAAGTTCTTCTGCTGGAGAGAGAGTCTTTAATTAGAAGAGAGAGAATTCATCCCTACAAGTTGATGCTTTGGCTGGAAGACATGAAAGTGACACTGATGCCTTATTCATGGGGACATAGGTGAACCATATGGGATGTGACCATTGAAGAGCTGATAACATTATGCATGCAACTACAGACTATTTTACTGAATCCTCCTAACTTAATTGAGTTTGCACCTTCAGATTTTTATTTAATCAGATTCCTGTAAAACATTGGCAAAGCCTTTAAACAAATGGAGAGCCAAAAGATCATTTCAACACTCAATTATTTCTTATTGAAAGAATTTGAGATTATGAACGAGGTAAGATAGTTGGTTTTACAAGGAGTTTTTATCAGTGACGATGATTACTTTCTGGTTGCATTTTTATTTCATCTCCAAAAATGTCACATTTCTTTTCTGAATAACTAAATATTGGTTAGTTTATCATGAGGATAATACAAGTGGGTGATATAGTGGCTCAGAATGAGAAATCAGAGCTGAGTTCAAATTCCAGTCAGGTTTATTACATTCACTTACACACAAACACTCTTTATAGCATAAATTAAATTGTCTATGTGGTATGAAACTTTAAGATATATTTAAATGCACACCTTAATGTTTCATATACATTATTTGTAATAAATAATTCTACTGGAAAAAAGAAAACAAATGTTAAAAAATCAATTCCATTTGCTAAGAATAGTCAAATGTTCAAGGTGTCCATAAAATCTCAATCTATTTTAATGAAACACATCAAAATTATACGACCCTCAGTATTGCTACAATCATCTTGCAGCATTTCGTATATGTCATGAAAAAGTAAATAATCACATTTGGGAAGAACATTCAAATAACTTTGGTCAGCATTAGGAAAAGAGATTACCTAAAATGAAATTGACAAAATCTAAGATCTGTCTTTGCTGAAAATATACTTACAGGAATTCTTATTCAGTTAATAATTAGTAGCATTCTGGCAGACTGGACTCTTTGTCTTAGATGGCAGACAGTATGGAAGGAAAACCTTCCATGAAGAGGAGTGGATGCCATTAGACTGTCTCACCTTAGACAGTCGACACTCCTTTGTTGATACAACTGCAGTACATGTGGTATCCCAACAAGCTGAATGGGTTACACGATTGTTATTTTTAATTTTTGTTGCCATATTTATCACAACATTTTGGCCATTGTATGCTCTGGCGAAATAAAGGGTTCAATTTGAAATTCTAACCATCTGAAGAAGGCCGAAGTGTACAATGACTGAAACGTGATAAACATGGCAACAAAGATGAGGACAATAGTCCAAATAATGTAAATAGTGTACATAATACCTCATCTCAGAAATATAGACAGAAAAAGATACTGTTTTCTTTAAGTATCAAATGGAGGATACAATGATTAAAAAAAAACAGCCAAAATAAGAAGAACAAAATATTAAATAAATAATATAACACTAACAATTCATGATCTCAAAAATTCAGACAGGAGCAATAAGAAAAATAAGTCAGATTAAAAAAAATAAAACTCTTTAGAAATTGCTTTGTTTTGGATACAAAACTGAGCAGATATGGCATTTGAAAAAATCTGAAGGTATGAATGTGCATAAAGGCAAATAGAATCTTGCCTTACTGTGATGCTCTCCATAAATGAGCAGTCAGAGCACACCAGATAAGATGGTTTTTCCTGCAAAGGAGGATTCAAGTTCAAATGCTATTGGTGGTCAGGGCACATTTCCTTTTAAAATTTTTTCAAGTGTGATGGGTAGTAGACAAAATAAACACTGTTTACAAAAAAATGAAAAAATATGGAGTTGTTTCTACTTGAATATGGGTCCCCACTAAAAATAATGTTTGAATTATATATCACTGGGTTCTATATAATTGGATGGCAACTGGTCTAGGAGAAGGGCAACTCTGAACTCAAAACCTGTGGAGGTCTCTGTATTCTGTCCTTCAAAGTATGGATAGTTCTGCACAAAACCTTCACCACTATAATCAAATTGGTGTTGGGCTGTCAGTTCCTAGGAAATGATTTGCTTGACCCTCATATGTCAAATGAGAATATATATATATATATATATATATATATATATATATAATTTTGTGTGTGTGTTTATCAGAAGCCTTGTATTCTCTAGTGTAATGTGTGCACAGAAATATCAACTTATTGCACAAAGTTTATATATTCAGATCAAAGACTAGTTTAAATGAAAATGTGAATACTTGTTCTTTCTGCAATAACCACTCTGCTTTAATTTTGCTCATACGTTTACAGAGGAATTTATGAATGCCATCCTTGAATAAATATTAAAATTCACTGAAATATTAAACAAAAAAAAAAAAAATGGTGTTTATGTGAAAGTGTTTTTCACTTCATTTTCGTCCTAGTTTTCAACAAAAGTTTTCAAGTAAAGGGAGATAACTCAAGTTTTATTTTGCTTTTTATGTTTTGTATTCAATAACCATTACAAAACAAAAGAAAACGGCTGTCTGCACAAAAAGTGAAACTAGAAAGCAGTTCAAATTCTGCCTCTAATATGTTTCATTCACGTTCTTGGAAAAGGCATGAAACCATTTGAAAAGAAGAAATGGATTCTAAGTAGACTGGGTTGTTTTGGGTGATAGTCAAGCAAAAGGACAATTCTGAATTCAAGATCACAGAGAAGGCATCGGGATATATTTCCAAAGACACCATTGTAATTCATAATGAAGGAAAAGGAATTTGTGATTAACTACATCCTGACAAAATACTATACAAAAATACCTGGCACATGTGTTGATTTAAATAATGCCAGTCTGATTAGGAGAGAGAACAAAATACACAAATAGGATTTTAAAAAATATGTATCAATATTGTGATTTTCTTTCTTCTTTTAATGATAATGTTATTAAGCTTATCAGACGATATGAAAAGAATTTACATAAAATAAATAGACAAGTTTTGTCTATATTATTTAATGAAACATATATATATATATATTTATAAATAAAAATGTGTGTGTGTGTGTATATATATATATATATATATATATATATATATAAAAAACGTCTATGCGAGCACAGGTATGTATCTATGGGCACGTATATGTATACATGTGTATATATATATAAAATATATATATATAAAAGACTCAACAGACATATATGCTTGGGTGCATGTTATGTATATATATATATATATATATATATATATATATATATATATTGTGTGTGTGTCAATGCTAGAACACATAAGCCAGAGCAATTAATGTGATTTACAATGACCAACTTATCCTTTTGTCTTTCTTTTAGTTGAACTGATGAGGCCAAAGAGAACATAAGCTAAGCTTGTATCCAACAAAATGTGTCTTTGACCTAGAATTTTCTACTTTGTCTCATCACTCATTTTTATTTCAGACACTATTTTATATATATATATATATATATGCGCGCGCACACACATTATATAAATGGCTATTTGCTTAGTTTGGTACCAGGCCAGCAGTATTCCATGCATGGACAAACGGTAGATTTATAAATGTGCATGGAGTAAAATAGACAAGGGTATTAGTGCAAAGTGAACAAATCATGCTCAGTCAGGATTTGAACCCCACATGCAAGAATAGAAACTGTTAGAATAGAAGTGGTGCTTGTATCTAGCTAGTTCAACAGTAAAAGGGTGGGACCTACATGCCAATCTAGTAGTTTAAATTCATGTATTCAAGACACCAGGGAAAAAGCTCATCAGAACAGTTACCATAAAAATATTTGTAGAAAAGACAGAAGCAAGAAAATGACTCGAGTCGAAATGCCTGGTCAGGATCAATTACATTACAGATCCTTCTTTAGATTTTGTCAAGAATCTTGAGATGTACAGCAAGAACACCAGACCAGATATAGCAACAATATTCAATGCATGGATAAATGGTAGATTTATAAATGTGCAAAATGGACTCTGATGAGAAACATTTTCTGGCACAACACATTCAAATTTCCTTGCAGTAGATGTTGAGCTATAATTTATATTAAAAATAAATATACATTTTTTTTCCTCAACAGTAGCACAATGCAATTGAAAAAGCTTGTCAGAGCAGTTACCATGAAAATATTTGTAGAAAAGACAGAGGGAATCCATGTCACATCCATGAGAAAGTGACTGAAGTCGAGATGCCATGTCAGGATCAATTACATTACAGATCCTTCTTTAAATTTTGTCAAGAATCTTGAGATGTCCAACAGGATCACCAGACCAGATATAGCAGCAGTATTCCATGCATGGACAAATGGTAGATTTGTAAATGTGCAAGAGAAGTAAAAAAAAAAAAATAAAAAAATAAAGACCATTGTTTATATTTTCTGCTTAAGTAATTTAGGATTTTTTCATCTTTGCAACTAACTAGTTTTTATTTTTAAATCCTTAAAAATAAAAATATCCAAAGAAGGCAAACACACACACACAAAAAGTTTACTAATGATATATTCTGTTGCTATGGTAACCTCAAGTAATGTTTTCTGTTATCCTACTAATTCAAGTCTCCTAGAAACCTCTTAGGAGTAAAGGGGCTACAGCTCTCACCATGGTAAGTGCTGCTGCACTAACCCTATACCCCTCTGGTTTTTGTAAACAGGTGCAAATCGGATTATGTAACCGAATACATACAAGTTACATTGTGTTTCTTTATAAATAAGGTACATGATTTATTTTGCATCTTTGCAAAGAAAACTAAAATATTTTATTTTACAGATAAAGAACATTTATTTTTTAAAGACTTATTTTAACACAATTTAACTACAATTATATTTTTTTCCCCTCTGATCTTTCAGGAGAATCTAATGTCTACACTATTGGTTTCATTGGTGAACACAAAGTTGTGTCTACCAAATTACCAGCCATTGGACATGCAATGTTTGCTCAGATATCATCAGGAAATACTACAACAAGATTGTTAGGTAAGTCCTTGTCATTATTTACATTGCATATTGCAGAATATCTCTGCAACTAACTAAAGATTGTATGAGTGTTCATTTTTTTTTTTTTTTTATACCATCTTTAAGAAAATGGGCAATTCAAATAGCAACAGTCCATTAACATTCTCAGCCACATGTAACCATTTGTTACCAGATAACCTTCAACACTGTATATCTACAATAGTAATAAGTGAAATCAACATGGTGGCCAAAAAGCTGATTGTGACATTTTAGGCTATGAACAAAAGTATGAGCCAGTTCATTACCAGAGCAAGGAAGCTCATAAGCAACTCATTGCAGATTAAACTATTTACCTTCCTTGACTATTGACAAATGGGTGAGGGGTCAAAAAAATCTTTTTTTTTAAACTGACTCAAAAAAAAAAAAAAAATGAATCTCTTACCTCCCTTTGATAAGGTAGTCCTGTTAAAAAACAAGAAGCAGTCATTTTAATGAATTTACAAAATATTCTCTTATTGAATTGTGGAATTGTTTCACTGATCAATATTTTACACAACTTCTTGAAATGTTAAGATTCATTATGACACTGTTGAGAGCAAAAGTTGAATTTCTCAACTGGAATTTTTTTTTTTTTTTTTTTTTGCTAAAGCTTAAAATTTTAACAATTTTCTTGGATTTGACCAGCTGATCAGGAAAATAAAAAAACCAAAAAAAAAAAAAAACAAACATCTCAAAAGTTGTGACCATCCAATCGCTGAAGCAAACCTCATATTTTTACTCTTTCTTATTACTATAAATGTTATATTTAGTGGATATCCCTGTTTTTAAAACCGTGTAATTTAACATCTACCAGCCTGGGTATTTGAGTCTTAATAAAGAAAATGTGTTTCTCTTTATTAAGACTCTTGAACTCCTAGGCTGATAGATGTATTGCACTGTTTAACAAAAAAATGAAACGGGATATATCTACTAAATATAACACTTGTAGTACTAAGAAATAATGTTGGATTATAAATAAATTTGATAAATAAATCCTTAGAAATTTCTGTTTACTCTTATATTTCCAAGAAGCTGAATATAAACTACAATCAGACACTACCAATTAATATCTTTTATATACTTTGGAATTTCCTGGGTATTTTTGTACCTGGTGCTGTAGTCTGTGGTGAGCTAAAAAATATATATATATATATATATATATATATATATATAAATTAAAATAAGGCATTCCTTTAAAACTCTTATCTCTTTTTTTTTTTTTTTCTTTCTTCTCTCTTTCTATACTTCTCTCTCAACTAATAAGGCAACCTTCAAATAAAACATAGAAATGTACTGAAATAAGAGACTCTACACATAGCTTCTGCTATATAAAAAAAAAATGAAGAAAGGAACACCAGAAAATAAAAGAATTTTAGTCAATCAAAAAAAAAAAAAAAAACTTTTGATATTAACAGAAACCAAACTTCATGCCATCAAACTGGAGCCCTTAAGTGGATATAAATAATCAATGGGCAAAAACAGAAGGGAACACCAGAAAAACCAGCTAAGCGTATCACATGAAGAAACTAAGTGGTAATCTCAAAGCATTTTTCCACCCTTTTGAGGTGAAGAATACACAGCAGATTGACACTGCAACAAGTTTCAAAAGTAATCACACTCCTGACTGGTACCAAGGTCTGACTTGTAAATTATGAAATACTCAACTGAAACAACTTTTGCTACTCTGATTTGCTCCAATTGAAACCAGATAAATAAATATATATTATTTGTTTATACCTTTGATTGTCTATTTACATTACTTGGACTATTGTCCTCATTTTTGTTGCCATATTTATTACAGCATTTCAGTCGCACACTCCGGCCTACTTCAGATGGTTGGAATGTTGAACTGAACCCTTTATTTCGCTCACTAGGGCAGACTGTTCTAGTTTAATGGATGTCAGTTATCTCCTGTTAATTCCCATCTCCAAGTTCTCCACTGCCTTAATCAGGTATTGAACTCACACTCTTTGGGTCCTGTCACTGGATCTAACCAATGCCTTTATCCACTGTGCCATGTGTCCTCAAGGACATACCTGATAAAGAATTAACAGAAGATAACTGATAACTGACATCCATTAGACATGGCACATGGAACTAGAACAGTCTACCCCAGTGAGCGAAATAAAGGGTTCAGTTTGACATTTCAACCACCTGAAGAAGGCTGGAGCGTACAACAGCTGAAATGAAATGTTGTAATAAATATAGTGACAAAGATGTGGACAATAGTCTGAATAATGTAAATAGTGTACATAATACCTCATCTCAGCTTTGATTCTGTTCCTTTATTCCAAAATTTCTGATAATACAAAACCTCTAGCACTTTATCACAAGTCTAATGGGTACATGAATGAACAATTTTGTCTCCAGTTTAGTCTTTGGAAACAAGGTTTCCTTAGTTCTCATTGATTACACTTAATGAATATTGAAGAATGGGTCAACCAAAATGTTGTATTAATGATAGCAACTCTACAAAAAGATTCAAGTGTCAAAATGTTGGATATGTTCAAGACTCTCGTCAAAGTTATAGAAATTCTTGATACCTTCATTTTAATTGTTCAAGACTCTCGTCAAAGTTATAGAAATTCTTGATACCTTCATTTTAATTGTTCAAGACTCTCGTCAAAGTTATAGAAATTCTTGATACCTTCATTTTAATTGTTCAAGACTCTCGTCAAAGTTATAGAAATTCTTGATACCTTCATTTTAATATAGCTACAGTCTGAATAATTATTTTATCCATTATGGAAATTTCCTTTTGTTACTATTACTACAACCACCGCCACTATGAAGTGAGTAGTCACTTAGTACTTTAGGGAATTCGTTTGTGGTGAGTATGAAATAATAACTCCCTTTAACTACTTTTGAATGTATGTAACCCGTATAGCACTCCTGTGAGCAACAAAATCTCTTACTTTTGTTTTAAAAATTTGAATATTATTTTGTGTCATCATTTAATCTATTGTATGAACATTTCCTCATCATTACCATCCATCATTAATCTTCTTGATGTGGGTAAATCAACTTTTCATTTTAACCCCGAAACCAAGATGAATCAAACAAACTTTTCATCATCAAATTTTGATAAAGACATTTACTTCATAAATTATTTTTTTAAAAGCACTGAAAAAAAATTCCTCAAATTTTGGTAGCCAATAACAAAATTTTGTATTTAATTTAAATGGTCACATTTTCTCGTTAGCTGAATTGCCTTATCAAAGGGAGATAACCAACTAAAAGTTAATGTTGAAAAATCTATTAGCAAATAATACAGCAAAGTTTTCAGAGACAGGTTATGAATTTTGGAGAAAACAATAAATTTTATTGTCAAGACTTTCTGCTATTCATGTGGGAATGACTTTATTTATTTAATTATTATTATTAATTTGAGTTTCAACTTAACTTTTTAGTTTTGTGGGTTTTTTTTTATTGTAACTTTTACTCTGGCCATCAAGCTATAAAAGCAAATAGACAACCCAGAAATAAAAAAAAAAAACACTTTTTGATATTCAAATTGACACCCCTTTTGCATTAAATGAAAGTACAGAAAAACATACCAATGCCAAGGGAATTGTCTCTTGAGTCATCAAATGATTCTTTTATATGATTTTGACTTCACTTTAAAACTTTGTTAACAAACTCTTCTTCCTTTATCATCTCCCTTCTTCTCAGCAAAATATCTGATAGTATAGGAATGGCTCCCTCTATGAATATACTTGTGTTTGGCAATTTTAATGCTTATCATGTCAAGTAGTTTAATACCACTCAGACTTTATCACCTTGCTTGGGGTGAAATGATTTAGGAAAGAAGAAAAAAATCAAAATTAATTAATAATGGTTCATAATGCTTTATTATATTAAGTGTATGGTGGCAGAACAAAGAAGTAATATATAAAAATGGTAAATCGGTGTAAATGTCTCATCGAAAGAAGGAGGTAAGTGGAATTGTAAAAGTCATCCACGGAGAGAGAGGGGGGAGGAGAGAGGTAGATGAGGAGAGAGAGAGAGAAAAAGTTGTGACTTACAGCAGTGATTGCCTTTGGTGACTTGTTTTTTGGAAATAAGAGATCACGTTCCGACAAGCATTGTGAATCTGGGCTGTTAAGCCATCCAACAGTCGAAGATGTCTCTTTGATGGGCTTTTATGTCCTTTTCTTACGCTCAGATCGGCTCCAATTTTTATGTTGTTTCTTTAGGAAGGAGTGGGTGTTATTGGGTGGAAATTTTGGATTGTATTTTTCTTTGAGTGTGTGAGTAAAAATGGAAGCTTATGTGAAGTTAATGGAATTTTAGTTCATTCTTGGGTTTTGAAGCTTCACATATGGCCAGTGGTGGAAATTAGTGTAGCATAAATCAGATCTTCATGTAATAAAAAGTAAATTGCCAGTAATTCAAGAAATTCTGTTAACAATGTAGACCATTCTATGGTCACATGACTTTCAGATTAAACAAAATATTTTTATTATTATATACTTTGTGTTGACCTCAGTGTCCACTTTTCTGAATAGCAGTCTGTTTCATGCTCAAACACAATCTTCAGGCCATGTGTGTTGTGTTTTGGCTTGACTATATATGTTAATCAATGGGACATTATGGGTAGCAAAGACTTGTATTATCCTAATGGCAAGGCTAGAGGCTATTGAGTACAAATAATTGTGGATCCAAATGCAGTTACATGTAGCTATTTTATGAGTAAAAAGTTAAACAATATTATTGTTCTTTATTACATTTACTTGTGTTTGTGTGTGAATTTGTAGTTTGTTAATTTATTTATTATTTTAATTTTTTTCTTTGCGACAGTTATCTCATTTGTTTAGATAAAGCCAATATTTTTAAACTAAAGTATGTTAAATATAGCATACCTTAAAACTTACATAAGATAATGAAGGGTTTGGATGTAATCCAGAGAGCTCAATGTAACACCAGAGCAAATATTAATTAAGAAAGAGACAACCTTAAGGTTCCATGATTATAATTTATTTCCCCAGAAATTTCCTGTTTCATCAGGTCACATCTCTAGTTACAAAAGCTGATGTGACCTGATGAACCAGGAAAAATCTATTTTCTGGTTCAATAAATTATGGTCATGGAACCTTAAGGTTTTCTCTTTCTTAATTATTTTATATATATATGGTAAGTTCTCATTTTCAATATTTACAAAAGCATTGTGAAATTGTCAATTCATTATCAAATTACATTATCAAATTACTTTCTTCTTCTCTTTTTTAGGAACATTCCAGAACATTGAGTATGTCTTTATTGTGGGTGTGGCTGGGGGTGTTCCCTACTACACTGACTACTACAAACATGTTCGACTTGGGGATATTGTCATCTCCAAAGGTGGGCGAAACAACAACATCTATTATTATTGTCAGAAGATCTTGAAGAACAAAGAAGGTGATCTTCAATATGTGCACAAAACCTTTGCCTCTAGGGACACCACCTTACAGCAGGTGGCCCAGCAGATTGCTGAGACAGCTGAGCTAAATCCAGACAGTGCCCCTTGGGAGCAGTACATTGAAGAGGGTCAGGCACTTCTGCAAGGTCAAGAAGCAGATTTTGTGCGTCCATTGCCCAGTACTGACCGATTGTACATGAATATTGGCGATGACAACATCATTGAAGTGGAACATCCCCAGCCCCCACAGTCTGATGGTGATATGAAGGTCCATGTAGAGAAGCCCCGAATTCATTTTGGAGTCCTTGGCTCAGGTCGACCTGTTGTGAAGACCGATGCAACTCGACTTGATTTTGCTAGCAAATACAACATCAAAGCATTTGATACCGAATTTGATCAAGTTCTTGAGTCAATCGAAGGCAATAGGAAGGATTGTTTCATGTTCATTCGAGGAATTTCTGATTATACTGATGGCTCAAAGAACAAGGAATGGCAACCATATGCTGCCCTGGCAGCTGCCGCCTACATGAAAACTATTATAAAGGCCTTATCGAATCCCTTAGTAGATGATATGTAAAATTAAAATTGGGGGGGTGAAAAAATAATTACCTTCATTTATTATACCCAGATCTGCACACCAGTTTTGACTGTTACATTTTATATATATATATATATATATATATATATATAATATATATATAAAATGAATTTTTAACTCTTGCTCATTTTGTATGCATTCCATTCTTTTAATTATTTTTTTTCGTTTATGGTACATTCAGATCCAATAACTTAACTATTGAAATTTTTTTGATATTGATAAAGTTGTTAATATCAAAAAAAAAAAAAATTATTCAACTTCATGTTAAAAAAAAAAAAAAAAAAGTATTCAGTTCATCCCAAAGTTGTTTTTCTTTTCTTTTTGCTCAGATAACTGTTTTGACTGCTTACAATACAAAAAAAGTAATTTAAAAAAAAAAAATAATGCATTCTAGCTTGAAAATATTTTTTTTTTTTTATAATCTTTATTTGTTATTTTTAATTCAAGAAAATTTTTCTGGGAAAGCACATTCTAATTTCTTAATTAAAAAAACAAAAGGAAACCCATAAAATAGATGAAGGAGCAACTGAGACCAGCTCAAATAACCCCTATTCTTTGTATCAATTTGAAACAAAAGGTGGCAGATCATCTTTCATTGGAAGATATTTTTCTTAAGTAATTCTTTTTCTTAAATCAATTTCTACAACAGTTGGAGGCCTTGATAATCTGCCTTTCTCTTTTTTTTTTTATTTTTACAGTTCAAATTTTCTTCTGTATTAGGAACTCCACTTTGTCAAGCTACAGCCTTAATGTGGTTGGCATTACTGTCTTAATTAGGATTGTGAAAAATGACGGAAAGTTAAGACATCTGAATTATTTGTAAAAAATAAAAATGAAAAAAAAAAAGAAAAATTAATTACAACGATAAAATGTATATTTCTACAACCTGTAACCATGTTTTTATTTTCTTGTGTATTTTTTTTTTTTTATGCCATGAATGAAATTGCTTGGTTTACAAATTTTACTTTTTTCCGCTGCATTCCTTCCCTCCTCCCTCTTTGACTTTCATTGGCTGTGAATTTATTTTTATTTTTAATAGTTTGGTTTTCAATTTTTTAAAAGAAAATAAGGCTAACTGATCCCATTGTGAATTAACAGATTTTCCAGAATGAGAAGTTTCCAAGCATTGTTTTAAAGTATTCAGATTGTACACTTCTCCAGATATAAACTGATTTCTTTTTAACTAAATACTACACTGACATCAATATTATATTGTCAAGACAGGTCTACCAACAATGATTACAGTTGTCTTATAAAACAATCTTACCTGCTAGCAAGCAACTAGATTTACTTACATTCAAATTAAAAGCAAAACTGTCAACTTTGCTGATATATTGGTGAAAGACTTGCCAAAACTTGTCTTATAAATATGAATGAATTCTTTTCATTTTATTGATACTAATCATTTCATTTATGAATTGGCCAAACATTTATCAAAGTTGATCTGAATGCTATTTTAGGAGTTGGTTGAAATATCTTCAGCTTTCAGGATTTTGTTTTCTAAAAATGTATTTTGTAAAATCTACAATTACTACTTTTCCCATTACATTAATGTAAAATCCTAAACGTAAATAGCCCTAGACTGAACTCTCTTTACACTCCCCTCTGTCTTCAGGTGGGAAAGGTTTGGAAATACTTGTCACCTGATACTTAGCTTTTGCTGTAGACATCAGTGTTCTCTTGGACCTGAAGGTGTTTTGTTTTAAATCCGGGCGGGGCAGGGAGTATAGATAATCATCTTCACATCTGTATACACGATTATAATTGTTCTTAGAATATTACCATTTTTTTTTTTTTTTTTTTTTTTTTTTTTTTTTTTTTTTGACTATTTTTGATAAAATTTACAAAATTTTTGCCAAATATTCCTCAAATTCAAATTACCTCCCTTTGATATAACTTCAGTTAAATAATTTTTTTAAATCCTTTCACTCCATGCAAGGCAGTAAAGACACAATAAAGAAAGAATAAGAAAAACATTAAGGAGCAATAACAATAGAAGAATAGTAATCAAGTAAATAGCGATTGACATTACATATATGAAGGTGTTGCTTTCAATGATAGCTTTGTTAGTTCTGTTGGCATCCGAAACTCTTAATTTTAGAGGGCATAAAATTAGGATGTAAAATCTTGAAAACCATATCATTCAATAATTAAATTTCAATAAATTGATAAAAGAAAAAATTGTATAGTTATAAAATACATGTAAAGGTATATATATATATATATATATATAATTTTCTGAATTTGACTGGTTTAATCAAATTAATATCCTCATCTTAATTGTTATAAAAAGAATATTTTTTTTTTTTTTTGTATACAGAATCTTTTTTCAGGTATTGATGATTAGAGAATTATATTTCAATTAAGAAATGATTCTTCATTCATACATTCTTTGATTATTCAAAATATTATACTTACCTGGCGTTATGCTGGGGGTTTTGACAATTATTGGATCGTTTCTTGGCCTTTGGCTGAGATTCGATCAAGGCTTCGACTAGCTTGCTAGGACAAGTCATGACCAGCTTTGACTAAGCTCTGACCAGCTTGGACATGCTATGACCAATTTTGACCAGTGGCCTTTGAGTGGAAACACTCGGGTTTCCCACGTTAATCGACCTTGTGTCACATCTTGACCTTGTGGGAGTCAAGTAAATACCTACTTTTCTTCAAGCCAAGAGGTTGGACCAAATTCAAAATCTTCCATATTTAAATAAGATATTAAATTTTTTAAACCATTAAATACAAATCAATAATCACATTTGGTTATCAGAACCTCAGTCATTTGTGAGCAATAATAGCTCAATTTCAGAAGGCTGCACCTCCCCATGGCATCAAAATAAGTATAGGATTAGTGTTAATCCTTTATGCTTGAGATGTCCCAATGAAAAATTTCAAGGCAGCTCGGCAATTTTTGTCCCTTACCACCATATAAATACCCAAACTTGATTAAGATTCAGACCTTTAAAATACAAATATTAAGAACTATCAGTTTCTTAGTGAATTCAGATGTATAAGAAATATTTTCACAACACCACTTACCTCTACTTTGAATGTCATTACTAAAATATAAGCAAAACATGATAGTGCCTCACTGTGGTGTAACAGTTAGAGAGTCTACTATATAGTAGTAATTATTTACTAGAATGATTTGGCCCCACACTTGATAAAAGGCTTAGTAATTATACATAAAGACAACAAAATTGTTTGTTTTGTTTTGTTTATATCAAAATGCTGTGGAGTTTGCTTTAAGTGGAACATTAAAAACAAAACAAACTTAAAATTTATTTCCTATAAATAGTTCCTTTCAAATAAATTTGCATTTAAAAAAAAAAAAACTACAAATAAATAATTATTCTTTAAAGTTCAATATGATCTTCGCAAAAAAAAAGTTTTCTATTATTTAGTAATACTTTGATATGCTTGTAAAATCTTCAAAACCTCCCAAACGGTACAGATATCAATCTTTTTTATTAAATGTAAGGTTTATGAGGGAAAGACTACTACCATTTATGTCTTGAGCAATTCTTTCATACTGTAGTTATTAACATGATATGCTTGTAAAATATCAAGTTCAGAAGTCCCTCTGTTGTTAATGAAGTTGCGAAAACAATCAAATTATTTAAAATTATTATTATTAATAGTAGCTGTTAATTCTTTATCATGTATGTCGTTGAGGACACATGGCACAGTGGATAAAGGTGTTAGTTAGATCCAGTGACAGAACCCAAAGAGTGAGTTCAATACCTGGTTAAGGTGGTGGAGAAGTGAATTAACAGGAGATAACTGATATCCATTAAACATGGCATGTGGAACTAGAACAGTCTGCTCTAGTGAGCAAAATAAAGGGTTCAGTTTGACATTCTAACAACCTGAAGAAGGCCGGGGCATACAACAGCCGAAATGTGATAAATATGGCAACAAAGATGAGGTAAATAGTGTACAATTTTTTTTTTAAAATTGAATAAAAAAAAAAATAAAAAAAATAGATGAAATATTTATTAAAATATGCCTTTAAATATTGTCACTAATGTTATAAACACCATTTCTTAGTAATATATTTATATAAAAGGCTGGTATTTATTACATCTTGAAAATACAAGCTTTTTTTTTTTTTTTTTTTTGTTCTACTGATGTACAAACAACAAAGTTGAGCCTGGTCAGTACCTAGATGGGTGACCACTTGGAAATGCCAGGTGCTTTAAGCTTGGACGTGTAGGTGATGTAATGGATAATAGCTTCGAATTGTTAATCAGAGATCTGAATTTCAATTCCCATTGGCTCTCTTATACTCACTTATGCACAAATATCTTAGAGAAAAGGTCTGAATACACCTTCTCCCCCTCAGCTATGGGTTAATTAGTAAGACTTGTATCACTAAACCCATTATTTAAAAAAATTCTTATCTAAAAATATTTTCTGGCAAAGGGTTGATAAGCCGTAGAAAATGAATCCATCTCCTGCTGTAAGACAAAATTTAGCCTGACAATTGATTAAAACCCAAAATAATAATTTAATCCATAAAGTTCCATCATCAAGACATGAGACTAAAGTTTATTTGTTGTAGTGTTTTTTTTTTTTTGTTGTGTGTGCATTTTCTTTTCTTTAAATGTGCCTTATATGGTGGGAAATACAATAAGTGTAATAAGTCTAAAACTAAAAAGTTAAGCAACTTTCTAGCATGAAAATGGGTAACTGATAAAAAATAGTCTGTGAGCGTCATTGTGGTGGGAAGAAACAATGATATTGGCAAACCTGATTTAAAAAAAAAAAGTCTTAAACTTTGTCATTAAAATTCTTGTAATGGTCTTGCTGTTCTCTACTCCAAAATAAGGTTTGCATATTTTGTCAAGCACCTTAATCCACAAAAATTAAGCATTAAAGCTGTGGGATCTAGATACTGTCTTCAGGAAAGCAAATCTTTCATTAGTAAGACAAAGGAAATCTGAACAATGTATATCTAATCCCATATCTTCCTGACA